CCAGGGGCTTTCCCTACACAAGCGGCGACCCCAGTTTGAGAAACACTGGGCTAGGGACACCATCCTGGCTAATAGCTAATGATGGACCTATCCTCCATGAATTTATCTAGTTACCCTGTTATAGTCTTGGCCTTCACAACATCCCCTGGCAAGGAGTTCCACAGGTTGATTTGGGGCCTCAATACAACAAGGCATCCGGACGTATATATAACTTTAAGCATGTGAAAAGTTCCACTGAAATAAATGAGGCTACTCAATTGCTTAAAATTACACACATGCTTAAGTGCCTTTGGGCACCTCCTTTTGAAAATGTTGGCCACAAAGTCAAACTTTTACTTTCATTATAGGGCTTTTGCCTAGCCTAAGAGTTGTCATGATTACATGATTTATCTGAAGGGTGAAATTTCAGCAGGATGATTCACAACTTCTCTAATCATGAACCAACTTCTGCTTGAGATGGTCTTATACACCATGGTTTTCCTCATATGATCATATATTTGATTAGTTGTGAGATATGGGCCACTATTTTCAAAAATGACTAGTGTTTTTGGGTGTCTACCTTAAGAAACCCCAAAAGGGGACTAATTTTCAGAGGGCAGGTCCTCAACACTTCTGGGTACAAGGTACGCTTAAGGTGGCTCAGGTTGGGCATCCCCAAAGAAATCCCTAGTCTTAGATAAGCTTGTCCATGGCAAATTGTACTCAAGAGAAACTTTGGCACCTTTCTGTGAGCAGCTTTCTGCAACAGGCAGAGACTATGGAACAAATTAACTTGAATGACAATGATTTTTTTAAACATTTTTATTTGTAACAGTATTACATGGTGTGTTACAGAAATTAATGGAAAATTTCTAAAAATTTGTTGTTTTTGTTGTTGAATGCATTACACATAAAGTTAAAAATAATGTGTCCATATATGTTAACAAATGGTCATCATCTGAGGTAAAGTTAAAGTAGGTCTAGAAACATACTGCAACAGTCATTTTAGCTTTCTCATCTTTATTAAAAAAATATGTCAGAATGCAGAAATAAAAATGAATGAAAACCACAGAGTAAACATTTTTGCAAAGAAGGTGCCCAGTACATTATTAGATGATAGTAGTCATCCAAGTGTCTGATGAAACCTATCAAAATATTTTTCATGACATGTAAAGATCAAGAAACTTCTGGGGATGGTAACAGGATGTTGGGTGAGATTCCCTGGTTTTAAAATTTAAAGTGACAAATTTAGTGCTAGTGAAGGATGAGAGTTTAAACAATTGCACAAGCTGGAGCTGTTATTTATCTACAATACTGGTACAGTGCAGACTCCCCACAGTCCTCTGCAAATCAGCATCTCAACTATGACCAGGAAGGGCAGTCTAGTGATAATGATATGGTAGCTATAGATGTATTTTTTAAAAATATTGGTTACAAATAAAAACAAAATGGCCAATGACAATGTGGACTATGGTCTCTAATAAAACTGATCTTAAAATCCCAACCTCATTTAGTTTGTACCTACTTTTCCGATCTGAGCTCTATATATGTAATGTCAATGGATCCACTGAGACTTGACTCTGCATTTCCTTCTCTCTAAACATTTTACTGCATAACTGAAAATGTATTGACTATGCAACGCTTTGAATGTTTATGAGGAATCAAAATTAGTGTCTTCATGGTTCAATTCTGCAAGACAAAACCTAAAAAAGTCATATTGAGGAAGAAAGTAGCACCACTTATTGAGATCAAAATTATGAAAATATCCTTAAAAAAGAAATGCCCTGTGGAAATATTTTTTTCCTTATTTTAATCCCAAAACACACAATCCATCTGGTTTTGATTTAACTCCTACAGTTAGAAAACTGTTTGCACCTTTCTTCTGATGTGAAAATATGACTTTGCTACAAGCGTCTCTACATGCCTATGGAATAAGCAAACAATGACGGATCGGAGGATCTCTTCTCTGCATGGTCATTAGGTCTAGCCATATGTAATATGTCATTCATATATCTTCTGTAACTCACAATTCTCTAGTTTACCTAATTCAAAATATCAGACTGGAATCATGAGATTTGGGTGTACATATCAACAATCACCAGTTCATCTTTCAGCTTTCTATGTTTACAGTAAATATGCTGTCTTCTAAACCCTTTTTAGCTTATATTAGAGATGAAAGAAAGTAAAAGATTTACAACTTCAGGCCTATTTAAATCAATGACAGAAATATAAATCCTAATGTTTCAAGTTAAAAACAAAATCTGCACAATAACCCTAAAAACAGATTAATCGTTTGATTTCTTTAATATTTTTTTTTTAGTGTTAAACCACTAAATTCAATATACTGTAACTGCATAGGAACATCAGGAAAACACATTTGACCTGTATAACAATTCTCTGTAGGGCAAAAATATATAGATTCTTTATGAAAATCATGTGCTAACATATGAACCCAAACACTGCACTTTTGTTTCATAAATGTAAAAAAAGGAGTTTTTAAATTCTTCTGTTCTGTGTGTAAACAGTCTGATGACTTCCATTTAGAGATTTCGGAATCAAAGAAACGTCTATGAAATGTGGGTTGTTGTTTTTAATGTGGAGAATGTATACTTGTGTGGAAAAAGCTAGATCATAAAATCTTGTGTTCCCAGCAATTTTACTAGTTGCTGACAAGCTAATTGCTGTTGGCAGGTGCTCTTCAGCCTCTGCCTATTATAATAAGCATGTGAAAAAACATATGTGATGCAAGAACCACAAATTGGGTTTGCCACGCCTCCCAAGCACTGCAATTTGCTACCTTCTCTACAGTGTAATGGCATTATTAAAAGAATTTTCATAACATTTATATTTACAAAAAACTGGCAATTTTCATTTGAACTCCTTAAAGCCATTTCCCCTTAAACATTTAAAGAGTTTAATGGTAAGATTTTTTTCAAGTTATAAAATAAAAATCCCATTTGAATTTTCTGATGTACAAAAAGTGATAAAGATGAACAATTTGATCACAGAATCAGTTTGTTATTCCAAAATTCATGCCATCATTGTCCCATTTATAAAGTCTGTTTCGTCTAAAATCCATAAACCAGAATTATACCAGAATTATTTGGCAAATGATTTTTTTTTCTTCAAAAATGGCACACAGAGAAGAAAACACTTGTCTGCATAGCATTACAGCAGCAAGATAGCGAAGAAATAAAAAATATTCCTTTACTGTACTTTGTTTTATGAGTTTCCTAGGAAATAACATATTTTTCACCTCTTTCATCAATGGGATTTGATGTCCTTTTTCCACCCACAGAATGAGTATTCAAACAGAAAAGCAGCAATTCTTCCTCATGATGCGCTATAACTTAAAGGTCCATTTGGCAATGTTTTTCAACCAGGATGGATAATCAACACAGTTTTATTCTGCGGTTTCAAGTTAAGAATCATTTCCATAGGAGGCATTTTGCTGTTAATTTCTGTTACCCATACAAAACAACAGAATAAGAAATACAAAAAAATAACACAGCCTGTCTTTTTTTTTTTTTTAAATATGCCAAGACGGAGGTGAGGTGAGGTGAGGGAGGGGAATATAATGTCAAGAGTAGCCTGATATACATGACAATGAGAAACATGTCACCGTGACATAAAAAGTGCAGACTTGTGCCTGAAAGGCTGTTGAATGACGATGCCACTGCTACATATGGATTCTGCTTTTTTTTTTGTTTAAAAGAAAAACAATGGCTAATACTTATTCAATTTCAAATGCCCATTGTTCAGGTGGGATGCAAAGAAGAGTTTAAACGAAGAACAAGGAGTAAGATTTCGTACTGTGGGTGCTCAGAACTCAGATGCTTGGCATGGTAAGCAGGGCTCGTTTTTATGTTTGTGCTGCCATAGAAATTTGCCATTCATTGCCAAAAACTGTCAGGTACGTTTGGTAGGGCAATCCTCTATCCTTTGTCAGACGTGATCAATCAAAAACAAGCATAAGAGCCAAAAGGCCTGTCAGGTTGTAGATTTTCACTGGAGTCTTGAAGCACCACAAGCCTGTAATAATGCTATTTCTTAGGTCTGTTGATCTGGGCGTAGAGAGGTTCTGTTTCCTGAAGACAATAAAAATAAAAATAAGCAGAGATGTCTGAAGACATTTTTAGAACATCTGCTTGTGAACGGCATTGCACCTAGAGATAAAACCCAAAAGTAACAGCTAAGGAAATGTTTGCTTGCCTTCATGCGTTGAATGATTATGGCTTCCCAAAGGAATTTTTAAGAAAAAGCAATTCAACATTACATCAGAGAAGTTTCACACATATACTGAGCCTAGTGAAGGCAGGGGGCTCGACTCGATGACCTTTCAAGGTCCCTTCCAGTTCTAGGGGATAGGATATCTCCATTAATTTAATTTAAAATTTAATTAAACTTTACCATATGCACTGTACACTGGTTCTCAGGAGGTGTTGCTGGGTATGTATGTGTGAAGAAATTCAGTGATAATTATATATCTAGGTATTCTGAAATTCATGGGCCAGATCCTCAGCTGGTGAAAACCACCATAACTCCACGGATGTCAGGCTAAGGATCTGGCCCAAACGTTACAGCACAAAACATAGCGGGGTATTTTTATACAGTTGATATAGAACAAATGTTTGCTAACAGATACATTGCTATTGTAAGATGACTTCATGACATTGCAGTTAGATTTAAGATGAATAAACTTTACATTTCTACTATATATCTTATGAGTTCTGATATGAAAACCATGAAAGTTAATTTTGCAGGGGTTGATGATAAGTCTAATTATATCACTATTGGAAGAAACCATTTTGTTTTGCTCAATAGGTATTTTACTATGAATTTCTTAGAAACAGGAAAACTGCCATGTCTTCAGAGTGATATTTCATATATCTGACACTGTTTTCTTGATAATATATTCATTCTGGCTGCAAGATATAGTACGACTGCCCTCTACTTCATTTTCAGAAACAAATTTTTTAAACTGAGAATGACACCTAAAAAGAGAACGAGACAGGCAGAAAGGCTAATTAATGCCACATTGCATTAACTTTCCACACTATAATAAATATTCAAATACAATGGCGTGAAGTTAAATTTAGCCACGTTAGAATCAAATTCACATTGCAGAGAGGACAGCAAAAGCTAACATGAAATAAATAAGTTATAGGGTTTGGCAAACTGAACAACTGGCCAATGGGGGAATAAGAAAGTTTATTGTGGTGAGTTGGTGGCTACTCATTAGTTTCTAGCCATTATAGTTGCAAAGGTAACCTGTTGAATGTAAACCAACACACGCCTTTCTGAATCTGCACACACACCGCCTGAAGTTTCAGAGTAGCAGCCGTGTTAGTCTGTATCCGCAAAAAGAACAGGAGTACTTGTGGCACCTTAGAGACTAACAAATTTATTTGAGCATAAGCTTTCGTGGGCTACAGCCCACTTCATCGGATGCATAGAATGGAACATATATTTATCTCCTTACTATATGTTCCATTCTATGCATCTGATGAAGTGGGCTGTAGCCCACAAAAGCTTATGCTCAAATAAATTTGTTAGTCTCTAAGGTGCCACAAGTACTCCTGTTCTTTTTACAGCCTTAAGTGTGAACTATCTACAACTCAAATCCTGGCCTCAGTGCAATGCCCAAGCTGCTGGTCTGTGTGCTAGGGAATTTTGCTGGAGTTAAGAGAAGGAATCCTTCATTCCCATGTGAATTTGCAGGAGTGGAGCTCCTCCATAGATCCTATACAGCCTCAGGGCTGTAGCAGCCTCGGTGTTGATTGTGCTTCTATGGAGGAACAATGGCTGGTGGAAACATGTAGTGGTGGAACCACTTTTCTCACTTTCAGTCATTGCTGTGTCCCCATTTGCAGGGATCCCACACACACCTGGGCTCCATGGCTCATGGGGATTTCACATTCCTGGTACAAACTCATAAAATCCTGCCCTACTGCTAAACTCTCCATGGCTGCAGAGCAGTGGGATGTGGTTTTCCCATAAAGTGTGAACTGCTTCCATACATCTCAGTGGAAGCCCATCTGTCGCTCTGTGTCCATCTTCACTTTACTCCTCAAAACAGCTGTATGTTGCAAAGGTTCGAGCTGTCCCTCTCCTACCCATGCCAACCCCTGAGCAAACTGTGACAACTGGTGAACAGTAAGAAAAATCTTCCCCTGAATGATTTGGTTAAGGGGTGAAGAAATTATCTACAGTCAGAAGCACACACAAACAGCCTCCTCACAAACACCACACATGTAGGGATCTGTGGGTGTCCCTGCCAGAGGGATGAGGGAAGCAGAAATGAAAAGCGGTCTTCTTACAGAGTGAATTCCTATCAAAACTCAGAGGAAATACTACATAAAGGCAACCAAACTTAATGATTCTCATAGCAGCATTAACCTTTACTCTAAGCCTTCTACCTTCCTCCCAATGGGGGATGGTAGGATATTAGTAATGGCAGAAGGAGCAAATGGGAGAATGACTCCTGAGTGAGGCTCCTGTCAGGAAAAATAGGACCCTGAAAGTAACACAGAGGGTTGACAGTTCATGTAGATGTCTTGAACCTCACAGAGTTTTCCCCTTCTATGAAATAGATGGTTGGGCACAATGGCAATATCAGAAAAATGCTGGATGCTGAGGTAGTTCTATTAAAAGTAACTCTCCCCATCCATATTGTAATCAATAATCAAATTAGTGTTTGGCTCAACCCTACTCAGATGCCAGTGTATGGCTACTTATTGTGGACAGTGACTGTTAAATACAAAAGACGGTGGTTATAAATGTTCAGTGAAAAAGGAGATGGGCACCCAAGTCAATTATTTGAGAAAAGGGCCTGGCCTATTAGGAAGTAGGTCCAAAATGTTCAAAGATAAGTGCCTGAAATGAGACATCTAAATCCATATCGGGGAAACTAAAGAAGTACCCTGTATCTAGAGGCGATGAGCGCTGATCTCACTGGGAACTGTGTATATTCAGTACCTCTGAAAATCTGGCCATTTATTTAGGAGCATGACTGTATGCCCCCCAAGTTTGAAAAAGTGTGGCCTACTTTCCCTTGATTGCAATGAACTTAGTCTTTTTTTCAATAAATAACTACATACTTTTGTTGAAGTTATACCTCATACTTCAATATTTCTTTTTAAGGGGTGTTTTTTGTAATCATCAATGCCAAAAGCAAACAACATGCATTTAGGTGACTGCTCACAGCTCGGGCTTAGAACTGTATCAGCTAACTGGATGTACACATTATAAACATGATTCCATTTTTAATGTATTACTAGTATGTGCTCCTCAAACAAATCAGTTACCATAGGGCATAATCAAAAAGTGTCAGTATCAGGGTGGGCTTGTGATGTGAGAGCAACTTCAATGTTCATTGGCAACTTTCTGCAGTCCTCGGGTGATCATTTCAATGTACATGTAGAATGCTGTATAAAAGATGCATTACGTTCTAGAGTTGCTGTCCTCTCAGATTTCTTTAACCTCTCTCCTCTCATGCAGATTTTCAGCACAGGGTTTTCCTTCTGGCTAGGCAATCAGTAAGCACAGTCTCAGCAGATAAACTTCCGGAAATGAGACTGGGCTTTCTGATCATCCAGCCAAAAGGAAAATCCTGTGCTGAGAATCTGCAGCAGAGAAGGGACGTTAAGGAAATCTGGGAGAACTGCACTCTGGAGTGTAATGTATCTTTGATACAACATGCTTTGTGTGTATAAAACGCAGATTCAATAAACCAGGCTCTAAGGGACCTGACAGCAGTCAAAAAGTATACACCCCAGTGGTAATGGAAGGGCTTGTCCTAGTCTTCCAATGATGCTTAAGATATTTTTAAAAATAACTTCAACTGTGTTTAGATTCCAGTAGCTGTGTGAATACCCCAATCATCTATTTAGTGAATATTATTTGATATTCAGCGTTTTGGATGTTATAGTGACTATATCAGACAGGAAGCATTTCCCAATGTCCAACATCTATTTAACTATTAGAATTTTAAAAGGCAGGTCACTTAGGGCAGGTCTTCACTACGGGGGGGGGGTCGATTTAAGATACGCAAATTCAGCTACGCGAATAGCGTAGCTGAATTCGATGTATCAGAGCCGACTTACCCCGCTGTGAGGACGGTGGCAAAATCGACCTCCGCGGCTCCCCGTCGACGGCGCTTCCTCCTACCTCTGCTGGTGGAGTAAGAGCGTCGATTTGGGGATCGATTGTCGCGTCCCAACGAGACGCGATAATTCGATCCCCGAGAGATCGATTTCTACCCGCCGATTCAGGCGGGTAGTGTAGACCTAGCCTTAGTATCTTAGTACATACAATTGTGAAGACAGTCCAGAAAGACAACCCCTCTCTCTTGGTCCTGGTGTAATTTAGGGTTGCTATCTACAATTGCACGGCTGTTATTTTTTTCCAGTTCAGGTTCTTTGGAGAATATGATGGTGAAGAGGTGACTGGGCCTGCAAAGGGCAAAATGGGACTCTTCATGATTTCCTTTCAGTGGCTGTTCTAGAGTTTACAGCCAACTGCAGAGAAGGAGCTACCACCAATCCTACGAGTTTCTATCTAGGCTCTAGTTAGCTCTGATTGAGCTTACCGCATGGATCCTGGAAAAAGGTCTCTGAGATGTTGAGAGTCTATTCCGTTCTGGGATTCTTAATACAATGCCAGAACCTTGAAGTTGATGGAAAGCCAGGGCAGGTTGGGCAGCATCAATATATTATACCCTCTATGGTTCATCCTCATGCTTAGCATGGATCAACATCTGCAGATGCTCTGTTAACTCTGATATAAGCCCAGGAAGACTGGCTTATAAGAGTCCATCCTGGAACTGATGAACCTAGTAAGTACTCTTGTCAAGGAGGACGCATGGTGTTTTCTTACCACCCAGAGATGGAAGCCAGCAGGCAACCTGCCAATTGTTGGACTACTGACATATGTCAGTGATGACAACAGCATCACGAGTTTGACTTATTTCGAGATCTTACAGTTGTCTGCACACACTTCAGACAGCAGTTGCATAGCTTTTCTAGGAAGGATTGCTCCAGGAGAACGTGATCAGCTCTAGCCACAAATATTTTGAAGATTTGCCGAG